AATCTTATTTTTTCTAATTTGTTGAGCTATAAGTAGTTCATATGGAGTTAATATAGGATATAACTAGTATTTGGATAGATTAAGATTTAGATGAAACATTCAAAATAACTTTTTTTAAAAGCGTTGAGCTATAGATAGTTCACATGGAATTAGATAAGATATGATTAAAATTAAAATAGATTAAGATTTAAATAAAATATTCAAAATAGTGAAGGATAATATTGACCATGAAAAGTTTTTCCTAAACTCGTGTTTTTAAAAGGAGTATGATTTATAATAAGTAGTGTATTTGTAATTAACTCATAATAATAATATCTGCATTTTAAATTATTCCACCATAATTTTTGGTTAATAAGAAGATACCCCTTGATACCAAACTGACCTCCTTTTGTCATGTGCATGCCTTCAAGTCTACCTAACTTGACGTGGAGGAGAGATAGTTGACTTGATAAACACATTGATAAAATCGTGGGTTATTTGCATATATATACCCCTTAAATCATTGGTATTTGCAAAAATATCCTCAAAGATTAGTATTTGCAAAACTACTCCTCAAATCATCAACTTGGTGAAAAGATATCCCTAAAATCAACAAATCATCAACTTATTACCAAAAAATTGACGATTTTGCTGATAAGTTTTTCTTATCTTATCAAATTTCATGATTAATTTCTTTAATGATAAAAATTTTAAAATTGACGATTTGAGGGGTAGTTTTGCAAATACTGATATTTTGAAGTTATTTTGCAAACGTGCATGATTTAAGGGGTACATATGCTAATAACCCTAATATCATATACACGATCAGATTTTTTTTATACTTCAATATTTAATTTACTATTACATACTCATTCTCTATATATAAGGTAAGTTTTTTAACTTTACTTGAAGCTAAAAATAAAAAACGTGATACATGCTAATGCATATTACTCTTTATAGGAGAATAGTCTAACTTGGATTGTTTGCAAATCATAACAAACATAAAAGCGAGGATCACATGCATAATATTATCCCTGCATCTTAAGTTTGATTTGTTTTTTGTTAACATATTCTGAATTGAAATGGCTGTCCTTAATTTTTCTTTTTGCTTGGTCATCAGTCATTGAAAACCGAGTTAATCAACAAATAATGCATATGACATAAGAAATTGATTTTGAATATATCATTTCGAAGCCTTCAATTTTTTCCACGAAATATATTTTTGATGCATAAATTTGTTGTTTTATTTTTAAAAAATTATGGTGTAAATCTACAAGCTTTATATTTTCTTTTTCTATTGTTGTTTCCCTCAAAGTTTTTAAACTATCATGTGCGAACAAAATTAAATATCAAAAATACAATTTTCAAATCTAAGTTTAAACTAACATCTTGAGAGAAATGAATTTTACAATCTCATATAGCCCTCAAAAAATAGGTAATCTAATAATAATATATGAATTATACAATTTCTCAAGGAACGTTATTGTGTGAAGCAAGATTCAATCTCTTTGTAATCTCCCGATTTTCTTTCTTTTTTTTTCTTTTTCATTTGCTGTCATCTTGATTAAGTCCTAAGTACAAAGTACAACGATTCTATTTCTTAAATAATCTAAAGTTTTTGAGAGGTTAAGTTTGTAATGATGATAGTATTATTATCATTACCATGAGTTTGGTTTGAAAAAGAACCTATTTAAAAGTCAAAATCTGGCTTAAAAAAATGGGCGAATTCTGTCTTATTTTCTTCAAACACAAAATAAGAAAAAATTGAGTTAGTTTTAATCCCGACCAGAAAAAATTGAGTTAGTTTTAATCCCGGCCCAATTTAAGCAATTACCAAACACAAACTGATGTTCCCTGATGACAAGGAGTGAAGGTGATGACTTAAATTAACAAATTAATTAATATACTCCACATACCAAAAAAATCGTATGTACGAAATCATACTGACCTTTAAATAGCATGGAAGTTTAATTGTCACCATCAAAGCAGTTAAGAATTTTTTTTTAAAAATGCGTTTTTAATTTTTAGATAGAATTAGTCCATCAAACCATTGAAATTTCATACTCGACTTTCATAAATTGTTTCAAAACTAGTTTTGATTTTGAAGGTTATTGAAATAGCTAATAAATTACATCAATTTTTATAAGCTATTTCAAATTAATCTCTTGAATCAAACAGAGAAAAAACAGAATATAATAAGAAGGATTTTTTATTTATATAAAGCCGGGATTGGTTGAAGGAGGGATGGGTGGGGGGCCTGGGGGGTGCAGAGCCTGTGCGTTAGGGGCTTAAAAAAGATATTGTGTATTTAGATTTTTTTAATGAGATACAAAGTCTAAAGTAGGAAATACAAAGCTAATGTTTTTATGAACACGATGATTTCTGGGGTGAAACACGAGTTCAGGAGAATTTTTGTCACGGATGGACCAATTTGTATGACTCGTTAGGATTTGAGGGACTTATGAGTAATTTCAAACGTTTAAGGGGCTAATATGAAACTATTGAGATTTTGAGGGGCAATAACTAAAAAAGACCTCCTCAAACCAAATAAAAAAAGGGCAATCGCATATTAGTCCCTTAACCATTCTTAATTGCCAAGTAGCAACTCAAATCTCAATATTTGTATTTGTTCATCGGTCTTTCAAATATTCAATTTTATTACAAAATTCCCTCGTGTTAGGTGACGCATGTTAATTATTCATCATGGTGAAATCTTGTTAACCGGAAAGGAAATGGTTGGATTTCTCATTATATCACCACGGACCCCACCCCTTAACACTATCATTTATAAGCTCACCGACCCGTTTGA